CCTGGGCCTCCCCTAGGTCGACTCAGCCTCCAGTGAGTACCTAGTGTGGTAAACATCAGCGCTGGGGAGACAAAGGCGGCCGGGCGTGGTGCTGGCCACTCACCCCATCGTGTAGTGCAGTACCGGCCTTCATAAGTGCTACTACTCGCTAACAGCACTTGCCCCAACAGTCTGTTACAGACTACACCGGGGTAGCGGAGATCTTTATCTTTGTTCTGTGTTGTGTGTGTGTTGTGTGTAGTGTTGTGTATGTGTTGTGTATGGTGTTGTGTATGTGTTGTGTATGGTGGTGTGTGTTGTGTGTATGGTGGTGTGTGTGTTGTGTGTAGTGTTGTGTGTAGTGTTGTGTGTGTTGTGTGTGTGTTGTGTATGGTGGTGTGTGTGTTGTGTGTATGGTGGTGTGTGTGTTGTGTGTAGTGTTGTGTATGGTGGTGTGTGTGTTGTGTGGTGGTGTGTGTGTTGTGTGTGTGTGTGTTGTGTGTAGTGTTGTGTATGGTGGTGTGTGTGTTGTGTGTAGTGTTGTGTATGGTGGTGTGTGTGTTGTGTGTGTTGTGTGTAGTGTTGTGTATGGTGGTGTGTGTAGTGTTGTGTGTGTGTGTTGTGTATGGTGGTGTGTGTAGTGTTGTGTATGGTGGTGTGTGTGTTGTGTGTAGTGTTGTGTATGGTGGTGTGTATGGTGGTGTGTGTGTTGTGTATGTGTTGTGTGGTGGTGTGTGTAGTGTTCTGTGTAGTGTTGTGTATGTGTTGTGTGTAGTGTTGTGTATGGTGGTGTGTGTGTTGTGTGTGTTGTGTGTAGTGTTGTGTATGGTGTTGTGTGTAGTGTTGTGTGTAGTGCTGTGTGTAGTGTTGTGTATGGTGGTGTGTGTGTTGTGTATGTGTTGTGTGGTGGTGTGTGTATTGTTGTGTGTGTGTTGTGTATGTGTTGTGTGGTGGTGTGTGTAGTGTTGTGTGTGTGTTGTGTGTAGTGTTGTGTGTGTTGTGTGTAGTGTTGTGTATGGTGGTGTGTGTAGTGTTGTGTGTGTTGTGTGTAGTGTTGTGTATGGTGGTGTGTGTGTTGTGTATGTGTTGTGTGGTGGTGTGTGTAGTGTTCTGTGTAGTGTTGTGTATGCGTTGTGTGGTGGTGTGTGTAGTGTTCTGTGTAGTGTTGTGTATGCGTTGTGTGGTGGTGTGTGTAGTGTTGTGTGGTAGTGTGTGTAGTGTTGTGTGTGTACTGTTGTGTGTGCGTGTTGTGTGTGCGTGTTGTGTGTGTGTATGTGTTGTGTGTGCGTGTTGTGTGTGCGTGTTGTGTGTGTGTTGTGTATGTGTTGTGTGTGCGTGGTGTGTGTGTGTGTGTACTGTTGTCTGTGTGTGCGTGTTGTGTGTGTGTTGTGTGTGTAGTGTTGTGTATGGTGGTGTGTGTGCGTGTTGTGTATGTGTTGTGTGGTGGTGTGTGTAGTGTTGTGTGTGTGTACTGTTGTGTGTGCGTGTTGTGTGTGTGGTGTTGTGTGTGTGTAGTGTTGTGTATGTGTTGTGTGGTGGTGTGTGTAGTGTATGCGTTGTGTGTGTGTTGTGTGTGTTGTGTATGTGTTGTGTGGTGGTGTGTGTAGTGTTGTGTGTGTTGTGTGTTGTTGTGTGGTGGTGTGTGTAGTGTTGTGTGTGTGTACTGTTGTGTGTGCGTGTTGTGTGTGTGGTGTTGTGTGTGTAGTGTTGTGTGTGTTGTGTATGTGTTGTGTGGTGGTGTGTGTAGTGTATGCGTTGTGTGTGTGTTGTGTGTGTGTTGTGTGTGCGTGTTGTGTGTGTAGTGTATGTGTTGTGTGGTGGTGTGTGTAGTGTTGTGTGTGTTGTGTGGCAAAACAACCCCCTGCCTCCTTGTTGGTGCCGGATGGTAACGCTGTGGGGAGCAGTGCCTTGGGGGGGGGGGGGGGGGGGGGTCGGCATATTTCGATTGCCCATTCCTCTCACCACAGAGGCCAAAGTGGGATCTGGACAGGTGCGGGAGGCTGGTAACCCCTCCACCTTCAGTCCAAGTACCACGAAACCACGGAATAAAAATCTAATTAAGCTTGTGCCGGAGGCCCCAGGGGGACAGGCGTCCATGACGTCTCCTGGCCAAACCCCATTTGGCGGAGCCAGGAGACTGAATCCTTACCCTCGGGTCTTCCTCCAGAAACAGCAAATAGCCAATGCGAGGGGCCACGTGGAATGTTCGAATGCTGACTGCGGAGGAACCGTTTCCACTCCTCTGTCGAGAGCTGGACCAGTACCGCCTGGATCTCTGTGGTATTCAGGAGGTCCGGTGGACCGGCTCTGGCTCCTGCCACCATGAGGGGTGGATAATCCTCTACTCGGGGCATCAGACTGCCAAACAACAGGGAGTGGCTCTTCTTATGAGCAAAATAATGAAGGGGGCGTGAGAGCGTGGCAGTGAGGTGTGGGAAGCTGTAAGCCCCAGGCTACTTTGGGCTCGCCTTCCAATCAACCAAACGCGAGGAATGGTGGTCGTGGTTACTTATGCCCGCACCGAAGACGAACATTCGTGGAGGGATGCAGGCAAGGCCGATGAGTCAGATGCCTTCTATGACCTCCTGTCATAGGTACTAGCTCGGGATAGAGTCATCTTGTTGGGTGACTTTAATGCCCGAGTTGGCACCTGGTCTGGAGTGATTGGAAGGCAAGGACCAGATCAGCTCAATAACAAGGGTAGGAGGCTGCTAGATTTGTGTGCAGACCATGGGCTTGTAATTACCAACACACTGTTCTGGCATCGGCGCATCCACACAACATCATGGATGCATGCCGGGTCCAAGCAAGAACATATGCTGCACTACATAGTGATGGAACAGCGGATGCAAGGATGGGTGGTAGTTGCGGGTTGCTGATGAGAATGAATCTGCCTTAGTGGCCCGTGCTCACAAATCGTTTTTTTTATTTCCATCAAAAAAGTAACTTGCAGCGCCACACCTATTACAATTATTAGGGGAAAGAACGGTGATCCAATCTCCAACCCCCAGGAACAGGTTTGCAGATTTGTTAAGCATTTCTGTGAGGTCCTGGGGAGGGGAAATTCCTCAGCCTGGAAAACATCGTGGGACAAAGTGGGGATGACTCTGCTGAGGCTGCGGTGCCTCAAATATTGGAAGAAGCCACCCCCTGTCAGTAGCTGGCTGAGGTGCCATCGGTTGAGAAAGTACTGAAGGCAATCCAGAGTCTGAGACCAGCAAAGGCACCGGGCAGAGATGATCTACCAAGCGAAATGCTGAGGAAGGGTGGCGTTTGTGCACAGACTGCCCTATATGACATCATAACAACAGTCTGGACCACTGGACGGGTTCCGCAGGATTGGAAGGATGCCCTGGTGGTCCCCTTTTTAAGAAGGGGTACCGCACAGACAGTAACAACACAGGGGCATCTCACTCCTCAGTGTGCCGGGAAAGGTCCTGGCAAGCATTATTCAATATCGGCTTGCCAGGCACGCTGAGGAGAGGTTTGCAGAGCCCCAATGTGGTTTCAGGAAAGGGCGGTCCTGCACAGATGCATTTTATCTGTCCGTCTGCTACAGCAGAGGTTTAGAGAATTCCAACAAGACCTACATATCTGCTTTATTGACCTGGTCAAGGCCTATGATACCATCAATAGGCCTGGGCTCTGGGGTGTTCTTCGTGCTTTCGGAGTCCCTGACCCTCTGCTCACAATCATTAAGGACCTTCATGATGGTGAGCGGGCCAGGGTAAAACTACGTGGCCGGGAGTCGGAGCAATTCCATGTTCACCTTGGGGTGTGACAGGGATGTCCTCTGGCTTCCACATTATTTAACATTTATTTTGACCACGTAGTTCGTGAAGCCTTCGATCGCTGTACCAGAGGAATTTCCACCTAGTACAGATTCAATGGGAGGCTGATCGATGCCCGGGTGCAGTCAAGAGATGGCTCCCTCACTCAGAGGAGGAGTTGGAGGCACTGCTGCTGAACCTAGAGTGTGCCACTAAGAGGTGGGGCCTTACCATAAGCCCCACCAAAACTAAGCACCTGCCTGGGTATTTTGTACCATCGGACACTCCACCCCCACAACTCCCAATTGGTGATGGGGCAGTTGTGGAGAGAGTGGAGAGTTTCCCAAACCTGGGCAGTGCGCTCATGTCCGGCTATGGTTTGACAGCAGAGGTCTCACTCCGAATCAGTCGAGCGGCATTATCTTTTAATCAGTTGCATAACGCTGTGTGGAAGCTACCTGGTATGTCGCTCCACACGAATCTTCAGGTCTTCTCGGCCACCGTAATGCCCTCCCATCTCTACGCTTGCGAAACGTGGATCCTCTTAATTGAACATCTTCGCCATTTAGAAACATTGAGGCTGGCCTGCCTACGATCCATCCTGGATTTAACCAGGCTAGATTGTGTGAGGAGCTCACAAATTCTTGAAAGATCTGGACAAAGTCCCGTCGGTGAGCTCCTCTGGCAGACAAAGCTGCGTTAGCTGGGTCATGTAGTTCGCATGCCCAGCCACCGCATGCCTAAACAGATTTTGTTCGGCCGGATAGAGGGGGACAAACGGGCGCGGCACGGGCTAGAGAAGAGATGGAGTGATGTGGTACAAGATGATGTGGAGCTGAGTGGACTTGCCGATGACTGGTACCAGCGGTGTCAAGATCGGCCTCAGTGGAGGAGGCTCGTGAAGGATGCTACTGGGCAGTTGGAGGCAGTCGCCCTCCAACAACAACGGAGGGCGGAGGAGCGACGCTCACAACAACGAGCAGAGCGCCGAGTGGCTAAAGCACAGCAAGTTGGCACAATAGGGGGCACAGGTGGTGCATCGGCCAGTCATCTCAGTCAGTCGACCCGTGGCACCTGGGTCTGCCCCGTGACCTCCTGCCGGCAGGCGTTCGAGACTTCACGTGACCTCAATGTCCACATAGCCTGGCACAAGCGACGTGGTGACGTCACCACCACTTAGTGACGAATGGCGGTAGTTGTTGTTGTAGGGGTGTGTGTGTTGTGCGAGGTGGTTGTTAGTGCGCTCCGCACGTGCAGACGCTGCGCTCCCCGGGCCACGTCTTCACGCCATGCTCGAACAGCCGGTTGACCTGGTCCCCGAAGCGGAGGAGGCACGCGCCCATGCCGCGATAGACGCCCTCGCAGCCCGCGGGGGAGTCCGGCCCCATCTCTCCCAGCGACGCCGCTCCTAGAGAGAGATACGGCAAAGAACACCGCAGCACGGGAAGAGAGCAACCGTTCGCCCTACACACACCCGCCACCACGTGTCGCCTTCGCCGGCTTGTCCGGGGCAAGTGCTGTTAGCGAGTACCTATTGAGGAGGAGAGGACGAAGGCTCAGAGTTTGCACAAGCGGGTGGTGTGGCCAACGCAATGCGATGGTCACATAGCGATCTTAGATGGGAGGTTTCATTTGCCCGCCGTGGATTGAAGTATACAAGTGGTTTACAGATCTGAGCTGGCCCTCCCCGAGGTTTTCTCAGCGTAAAATGAGAACCCGGTGAAGGTGTCCGGCTATGGGCTCCAGAGGCCAGAGCGCTGAGCTGTCGCCATTGAGATCCTGGGTTTGAATCCAGGGCAGGCGCCCCGTGATTACACGGTGCAGGTTCCCATGAATCTCGTGTGGCAGAGCGGGCGGCAGAGTGCTGCCCAACTGATGTGTGGCGTAGAGGTCACTCTAAAGAGGGGCGTCTCGCAGGCAGCTCTGCGACATCCGCTTTCGCGTAACCGTCCTCTGCACGAGGAAGGGTCGCGCTGCTGTGCGAGACTTCAGAGCGAATTCTTCGCCTCGTGACGCGACACCAATACCACGATCGAGGTCAAACTGCGAGGGGTTGGGGGGTGAGGGTGGTGGGAGGAGCAGGTGGAGGGCGGAAACAACAACAAAATATTGATTTGTAAGTTACAAGAAATGAATGATAGTGCGGTGCCGAGTGCGAATATCGGCCCACGAGAGAGAGCGAGAGAGAGGAAGAGAATCAAAGAGCGGGCGGGGTGCGGGTGATGGTGACCCCGCCATCTCCCCCGGGGGCCTGCGCAGGCGTTAACAGGAGCTCCCGAACAACAGTCGCCCGACACTCTGCAGGCTAAAAGGGAAAGAGACGCCCGCGTGGTCGGGGAGGTCTAATTGCGTTCCAAAGCGAGCGGCCCCGGGGTGATAATGGGACTCTCCATTCCATCCCCGTCTCCCTCGTCAGCACCATCGTCAAGACGGTTCCAGAATAGGTTGCGTCGAACAAGATTTGTAAAATTTTCTTAGCGTGCGAGGAGGTGGCTCGGCGTGCCTGGGTCATATGAAGCGACCTGGCCACAAATGACAGCCCAATGAAGTGGCTTCTCGTGTGGAAATTTATAGCGGCCCAATAGTCGAAACGCGTGACGTTGATTCTAAATGTGGAGAGAAAAACCAAAGGACCCAGAGAAAAATCCAGGCGACCACGGGGAGAGAGACATGAAACCCCACAACCTGTGTACCAGGCGAAGTAGTTAACATCTCGCCACCATGGCACCTATGTATCATTAAGCCAGAACCTCTGAGTTAATGGGTTCAATACCACGACCTAAATATACACCGTACGCAGCCAACCGTGCTAATCGGAGGTTCGGGGATGGGCACCAAACTAAACTCAAAAAGCAGTTCTAAATAAATGAGTTTTCAATCTAGAGTAAAAGTGCATACAGTAGCTCCAGTGGCTTCCGAATATCAGAAGGAAGAGCGTTCCAGACGGCCGCAGAGGCGCATATGAAAGCACACGATGCAGTGACTGTCTTATCCCGATGTTGTTGGAAGCTTAGCAGCGTTGAGACTGGTTAGTGCTCGGATGGAAGCCTGCCTGTAAACACCGCGTGTTTATAGGCTTGGGTTAGGAGTTGGAGATCATAGAGCAGTGCATTCTGGAATCCATTTTCCATGCCATCTCCCGGTGACCTCGTAGCTCCGCACAAACTCGCTGGGATGCAAAGTGGCATCTGTGCAGAGTTTTGAGTTAGCCCTCATATCCAAGGACATACACATGTATGGTGGTGGTAGTGGCTGCGGCGGCGGTGGTGGTGGCGATGGTGGCGGTGGTGGTGGTGGTGGCGGTGGTGGCGGTGGTGGCGGCGGCGTTGATGGCGGTGGTGGTGGTGGTGGCGGCGTTGGTGGTGGTGGTGGTGGTGGCGGTGGTGGCGGTGGTGGTGGTGGTGGTGGTGGCGGTGGCGGTGGTGGCGGTGGTGGTGGTGGTGGCGGTGGTGGTGGTGGCGGTGGTGGTGGTGGCGGCGTCTTTGGTGGCGGTGGTGGCGGTGGTGGTGGCGGTGGTGGCGGTGGTGGCAGTGGTGGCGGCGGCGTTGGTGGCGGTGGTGGCGGTGGCGGTGGTGGCGGTGGTGGCGGTGGTGGTGGCGGTGAAGGCTGGGGCCGCTTAGGGGCAGGGAACTCCTCCACGACCCCCATCCACCCCACCGCCTTTCTCCACCCAGGAACGCCAAACGCCACAGTCGATTTTACAAGTCGCGTGTGGTGGGGCACAAATGTGGGTACTCTCGAATTCCTTAAAGACGTCTGCACAGCACGGAAGAGGAGCTCGAAAATTACCCCTCTGGATGGGGCTCATCAAGCCAGCAGCGGTGCTCACGGGCAGTTTCAGGGCTGCACCTTTCGCTTTACCCCCCCCCCCCCCCTTCTCTCTGAACTGAAGCAGGAAATTTCGATTTAAAGCTTTCGTGACTGCAATGATTCATCACCGCCACCACCACCGCCACCACCGCCACCAAAGACTCCAGCGCTGTCCTACCAGACAGTCTCGCCCCTTCACCTGATGAAGGCCGCTTGGGTTGTGGCCGAAACGTCGTGAGAATATTAGTGTGTTATTTTATTTTATCAATTTATTATTTTATTCTCATTCTACGTGACTTTACCGAAAGAACCAAAGAAGATGAAGCAGGAAAGTTTGCGAGGACGAAGGGAAAGGATGTGGGAGTCAGGGACACGAATTTATCCCCACCGAGAGAGAAGAGGGATGATTGTTTACGCCACCTGGACTCTCAAAATAGTTTTGGCTCCATGAAACCACGCGCACGCGTACAGCAAATCACACGGACACAGACAAAGAGGCCCCAGATAGCCGTTGACAGACTGTTGGGGCACGTACTGTTAGCGGGCACCTGGTACAGCACTTGAGGGGGGGGGTTAGCACAAATGCCCGGCCGCCTATGTCTCCCCAATGCTGATGTGCACACACCACACAAGCTACTCACTTGAGGCTGAGTCATTGAAAGGCCCAGGACCGGTTCTGTTTTTTGGTGGAGTCGCCGAGTGCGTTGCGCGGTGCACTGACCACGAGCCGACCGCTGCTCACCTGGGCGACCGGAGCTCTGACAGTGGTTTGATTTCGTTTTTTGGCTTCTTCTGGACCCATATGAAAAAAAAAAGCTTTATAGCTCATCGGATTCCTCCAATATAAACAAATATTCTGATTCAGATTTGTTTTTGGGCTCTGTGTCCCCACGCTGTGGCCGAGCGTGGGGGCACAGAGGCGCGTCCATCCGCGATCCTCCGATACGCCGCACGAGATGCGATCCACGATCATCGTATAATATAGCGATTATTGAGGGTCAATTCAACTCTATATTCAATTTAATTACATGGATTTATTTTGCTGCAAAAACATTAATGAAATAACAAACTCCACGATAACGCAACCAATAGCAAAACAAATCAGCAGCGGGAAAGACAAAGGCGGCCGGCAGGAGGGGCGCGGTGCTGGCCACCCACCACCCCTCGTGGTGCCGTGGTCCGGCCTTGAGAGGTGCCCCAACGGTCTGTTTGTTGAGGGCTATCGCGGGGCGATTTTTGCCTTCGCGTCACATGGGTCTCGTTGTGCCTTTGAGACGAAGCCGCGCTCGCCCGTGCGCACTGCGCTCTCCGCGTGTTCAGCGCGCGGTATATTTAGAAAATATTTGTTGTTGTTGTTGCTAATGAATGTTCTAATTGCGTTGTCAGCAGCTAAAACAAACGTACATGTGTTCGTGTTTACTCCATACCACGGACGGCGGAGACGCATTTATGCGTCGTTCTAATTACACACGCGCAGAGACAGGATGGCCATGCGTGCCTTCATAGAAGTGCCAAGAGGCGCGGCTCCAGCCCCTTCCTCTCGGACGGGGCCGGGGAGCGGGACTGTTTTGTGGTATTGTAGCGCAGTGCGCTAACCACTGCGCCACCGCTCCCCCCCCCCCCCCCCCCACACACACACACACAAATCTCCGCATGCGTTGTTACCACCGCATTCTAAGAGAGAACAAAAAAATATCCAAAGAAAGGTGATGGACGTGGAGGCACCACGGTGGAGGTGGAGAGGTCAAGGGTGGGCAGAGGCGGCTCAGAGCCGAGAGCCAGCAGGGTGTGGGGGACCGTGTACGTGGCGGTGGTGGCCCAGGGCAGGAGGAGGGAGCGGAGGGAGATGTGAGATGCAGGGAGGGGGGGCGGGGTGGGGGATCGCCAGCAGGGAGAAGATTACAAAACAGGTTGATCATGCGAGCAGTGACCCTTCAGAAGTGAGATTGAGAATTATAAATTACTTGAGAATTAAGCAAGAGATTAAAACATTATAAAATAGGTAACAAAATAAATAAGCAAACGAGGGTGTCTGTCACCACCAGAAAATTAAATGAATTAACATTCAGGAGCGTCAGCCAGGAGGCTTTCTAGCCATTGATTTATAAATATGTGAAATCGGTTTGGGATTTCACAACAAAGATCCCACGTTTAGCTTCACCAGGCTCTTGGCACCCATGAAGACGCAGAACGGCACACGAGGGGGTGGTGTGGCTAGGACCACAAGCGGCCGACTTTATCTCCCGAGTGGCAATATTTACATCTCACCAGGTACTCATTGGAGGCTGAGTCGACCTAGGGGAGGCCCAGACCCGGTTCAGACAGTCGTCACTGGTGTTGGCCGTGAGCAACAATCTAACTTGGGCCGCCAGGTCCGTAGCGCAGCGTGCTAACCACTGCACCATCGCTCCCCTTGAGTACTCGCAAACACGCACGCACGTGCAAATACACCAAAATAATACAAACTGGCCAAACATCCACAAAAAGGACCCTCTTAAAAAGTAGTCTTGAGCCTCAGTGAGGCTCCCCTGGGTGAATAATGAAGAAGACCACACTCGCTGCATAGCAGCCCTGTGGTTAGAGCAAGGGTGTGTAGAG